AGCAGGATGCTACACTGATCTTTATTGCATCAAAGATGTGCAAAAGTTACTGTAGTCTAGGAAGAAATATTTTTACCCACTCTACTTTTGAGTCTGTGGGTGGGCTATAGATGATCCACAATTATTTTCAGGTTTTGGACACATTTCTACGGGAGACATATCTGTTTTTCTGTCTTTATTTTGGTCAAAGAAGAGTACAGTATCTGTGGCAACTTAAAACTTCTTTAGAATACTCTTGAAGTGCTAGATGATGAGAAATATTTTCTGCAAGGTTTTTCAGTGATAAAAAAAATTGTGGCCAAGTGATTTATTTTTTTAAGACTTCCAACAACTTATTAATGTCTGCATCCTTCACTTTTCTGTGCTCTCTTTTTACTAGAACCATGCTCTTTGACAGATTCCAATTTTTTAGATAGATTCAGAAGTAAAATAATAGTCTTTCAGCACCTTTGGTTTTATCTTCCTCTGTGGTCAGCATTTTAAGTTCAATGGCTTTATTATCACTCTAAGTCTTAATTACTGCAGATTTTGTCTGAAAAAATGCCTCATCTAGTTATCATTGTATTTTCAGGAGTTCTGTGGTGCCATATTCACAGCAACTCAAATGAGTATTAATATCCAAGTATAATATTATTATATAAATGAAGGAGAAAGGCAACAATGAAAATCTGGAAACAATGGTTTCCTATATAAATGAACAGAAGTACCCTAAGGCCTTAATTCTTGGAGAAATGCTCTGGAGAAAGCAAAACAAACCAAACATCTCTCTGTACAGTTGGATTCCTCTGGAGTACATAGTAAATGGTAAGACAGCTTGTAACTGCATCCCCTGAGCTCAAGAGGTATTCAGAGAGCTCTGGCAGAACTGCTTCGTCTGGTGGGCTAAAATACAGCCTATGAAGGAATGAAGAAACTCAACACTGAAAGGAAATTAAGGAAAAGCTGTTATTTCCCGGAACTCATCTGCAAATAGGTCTTCACCAGGTCCCACCCTAGGAACAGAGGAGTTTTGCCAGATGGCACAGGGAATGCAGTGACTCATGTTTTTTCTCTTTCTGTTCTGGTATCCTCCCCCAGATATTGCTGGATTTTTTCTCCTTCACTATTCTCTCTGTGCTAATCACTGGGTCTTCTGAGAAAGAGCTGGAAGAAGGGCTGGAATGTTATATGGATATAGACAGGGAGCATGTCATGTTAATGTCCTCAGCAGGGACCTGGGGTGCTTATTTAGGAAAGTTAGAGATGTGAAGGAGTGCAGGATAGCAGCAGCAGAACAAGACTGGGGAAAACACCACTTCTTCACTGTCTCTACCACCAAGCAAATCTCCTCTGGTTTGCCAAGAGTTTTGTGCCTCAAACCAATATGAGATATATCTATTAGATATCTAACATAGAAATTAAAATAGACATAATGTGTTTCCAAAGAAGGCCATCCTCCCCTGCTCCTGAGCACTGTTGTTTACTGGATATCTAAACTGAGTTAGCAGTCAGTTGGCTGATAGATTTGTCATCAGCTTTTATTTCCTGTGCTAATAGAAAAAAAAATAATGAAAAATGAAGGTACATATCGTAGGAGCCAACTATAATATTTCTCTGACGCTCTGCTACTATGCTTTTAGTTGGCTTGAGTTTCACAAACATAGATCTTGCTCAGCACATGGTTTTGACATAGTTTGTATTTTTGTACCTTAAAAATATGTTCCTTGACTAGGCTATAATTGTTGATGAATCCTTTCAATTTTGGATGTTGATATAATACAGTAAAATACGTAACCATTTCAGATCTGACACTGCCCACCTTCAAAACTGCAAATGTCATCCTTGTTTTCTGTGCCAACACACCTTATGGATCAGGATGGTCCTTTCAGGGAAGTTGTGGATTTCCCATCCCTGGAAATGTTCAAGGCCAGATTGAATGGAGCTCTGAGCAACCTGGTCTAGTGAAAGGTTTCCCTGCCTATTGCAAGGAGGTTGGAACTAAGGAGCTTTAAGGTCCCTTCCAACCCCAGTCATGCTATGATTCTGTGTTTCTGTGATTTAGATCAGCTATATAAAGATTTGAACAATATCAAAATCCACCAACTGAGGAGTATAAATATATACACACATTAGTGAAAAATATGGAATAAATACTCATACGAGGACATCTTTGCTAGCATTACTTCTCTTTTGGAAATCCCAAGAGCTATATAGTGCCAGCACAGGAAGGTGTGGTTCTGTATAGCTTTAAAGTAATGCAATAATATATCTAACTATAAACTGCCTGTCATACTCTGAAATTTATTCTCCAGTGCAATAGTAAATAGAGATGGTAAAAAATTTCAATTTTTCAATTTTATGAATAGAAGATGAATTATTTGAGAAAAAAAAAAGTCATTCCATTATTTATTCAGGAAAAAAAAAAGAAGAAATACTAAAGGTGAATCAGTGGAAATCTTTTTGGTAAGTATATTTCCCATTTCCTCTTTTCCAATTAGTGATCATGACCAGTTCTTACAATTTTTGGGCTCAGCTTGTTTTAATTAGGATTGAAATGGAACAAAATATTTCATATAAGAATTCTGCCTTTCTTTCTCATTAACTAGTACCGCACAGTTTCAGAATATATGAATAATAGAGTCTGAAAAGATACTGGTTTTATGTTTTCTCACAGACAGTGTAGCAGTGAGCCAGCAAATGAAATATTGCATGTCATGCCACTTGATGGGCTATAATTCGGTTATGGAGCTGAGTTTAAATTCAGTTTGGCAGATCCATTGCTCACACTGTCATAAAACAATCTATTTTTATGCTGTCATTGTGTGAACTAAAAAAAATAGTTCAGTTTGAATCTGTGTGTGCACTACCTCCCCATTAATCCACTGTCTCTAGAATAGTGACCTGCCTTGCAGTCTTTTCTAGTGGGCTAAACCTCCATTCCTGTATAAAATGTGGGACGCTTTTGGCAAAAGAGGAGATTCTGGGTCTTTTCCAATTTTATTGCTTATTGAGGCCTCAGAAGTTTTCCTACTAAAAGACTACAAAAACCCCTTGACAGATGCCTGCTCTGTGTCACGTTTTTGCACTGGCCGTCTCAAATGAGGAGCTGATATTTTCATTCTCATAGGAAGGAAGGAGCAGGAGAGAGAGAAAACTTAAAGAATTATGATAATTCCTACCAAGTGATTTTAATGCTGTCAGTGAGAGGGATATCCGAGCTCTTGCTATAGAGCTACCTCGACTTATCAAGCAGCTCAAGCACATCTTCCATTCCAGACAGTGTCAACTGACCAGCAACGACTGGGTAATCACAGGCAGCTGGTTGTTGACTCCCTGGCTATGGGAGGAAGCACAGCAGCAACAGCCAGCAGAGCCAGCACTGCCAGGCTGTTCTGGGGTCCTGTGTCATGGCCAGACAAGTCCCCACAGTCCCAGGGCGGTCTGTGGGACATCGTCATCTCCTGGCCATGAACCTTTCTGTAAGCTCCCTCTCTGATCTTTGAGGTACGTGCCTTTTAGCCCTTGGCATGCGAAGATGTGGCTTGTAGATTGAGAACATTCCCTGTAAATTTTAAAAGAAATTTTCCTGTAACGTACAGAGCATTTCTCCTCAGCCCCCACTCCCTGGCTACCATTTGTGGCTTTTATTTCCATATCTTAGCAATACATGAGTTTTGATTTGCCTATTAACATCCTTGCTCATTACAGTTTTCCTTCCTTTCTACTCTGTTTCTTCACCCCCATTTTCTATACTTTTGTTTGAAGGAATGTGAAGGATAGGGAATGAGTAATTTTATTTTTCTACGTGAGAATGGAAGCTTCTTCTGTACCTTTTTCGTTTTTAAACTTTTCTTCTCTATTTTTGCTAGACTTCTTTTTTTGCCATGCATGTCCACATCTTCCCATAGTTTTTTCATAAGTGCTCAGCTGCTCCTTCTTGGATGCACTGGATAGTGCATAGGGTTAGTTACATTGCTGCCTGGGTTTTATTTTCTGTAAAATATCTGGTGTTTCCACTGCAAAGAAAATCCACTGGAACAGAGTATATCTTTTCTATCCCTGCCTTCAGTAGTTTCTATTATGTTGTAAGTTGTGAGACAAAACTCTAGAAAACTGCTTGCACCTATCCAAAATTAGGATGGATGAAGGGTCTAGAAAATGGCAGATGTAGCAGAACACAGAGTAAAGAAGATGAGCAACTTGGCCACAGTCAGACTGCGAAGTGCTGACAGAGAGAGGAATAGAAAGCAGAAATGCTAGTTCTCAAGCCTGTGTTCAAAACAGTAAACCATGCAATTTTTTCACAGTGTTATCTAGAAATTTCAAAGACAGAATGACATGCTGTTGTAAAACTGATAATAGCAAACTACCATCAGTGAAGCACTATTTATAAATGAGAGGGTGGGAAGGCGCTCTCTATGCTGAATGCCATAAACAATGAGCACCAAGGGACCAAGGGAAATATTTTGATGTCGGTGTGCTGTGGTGAGTTTTATTTAAACACAACCATTGTTAATAAACATGGATTTATATGTTTTCTTTGATCAATGAACTCTGATAGGTTTTAAACAT